TATTACGACCTTTATATAAACTCTCAAATTAAGGCTGCTGGGAGGAAAACATATGAAGATTTTTTTATATAAACGATTTTTTCCCCCATTTTTCACGAGCGATATGTCTGAGTTTAACTGAACGTCCGTCATAGTCTCTGCCGATATTTTGTTTCTGTTCTCTGCCTCAACTTAAAACCAGAATTTTTTCTTTTCTTTTCTAGAACATTCTCTCTCTCATGCATTTGATCAAACCAGCCCCATGTCCTCGGTGTCTTTCAGGTCCACAGGTCAGACTGTAAAGAGACAGACTGAGAACCTGCGCGTCGATTATTACGTCACCCGAGATTTCAAATCGGAGTTCAAGGGCTCGGCCCTGAAGCAAATAGAGAAAAACGTAGAAGAGGACTACGTCACTAATGTCAGGAATAACTGCTGGAAGGAGAGGCAGACAAGTTAGTAACCACTGTTGATTCTTTATAGTTTTCTCTCTTTCTGTCTCTTACTCTGTTTTTCTGTGCTCGTTTTTTTTCAGAAACAGACCTGCTCTATGCTGCTAAGGTCTATAGAGACGACCGCATGCGGAAGAAGGCAGACCTCATGACCATGGACAACTGCAAGGAGCTGGACAGACTAAATAACCTGTTTAGAGGCGGATGAGTTGAAGGGCTTGTAGAACATGTGAATAGATGTCTAAGTTTTTTGTTTGTTTTTTAAACAAAGGCTTTACACTAGAAGTAAAGGATTATTAAATTATTTAAGGCCTGTTTAAGGTTAAAAACGTCCCACACCTCATATCCCATCCTGTGAACGGCTCTTCCTCGTCATTCCAGCTCGCTCCCAGGAATCGCCTTGTTGCATCCAGATGAGCCACTCTGCACTGTTGAATATTCCTTTTTTTTATATATATATATATTTGATTTGCTGGTAACCAGAAAAACAAGAGACACCTGATTGTAGAGATAAAGTAGAGAAAACATTGGATTCCTGCATCATCCTCATCAATACACAATGGGGGGAAAAACAGCGCATTCATCATGAGACGCTCTTCAGTCAGATCGACGTTGCAGAGGAGCAAAAGAAGCAGACGGCTTCCTCTTTTCTCTCGATGGAGAAAAGGAAACGGTTTAGGGTGAAACTAAATCAGTGAACATAGGCACTTTCATCCACAAAAAGCTGTTCTTTCATTTCCAAATGTTTAACATTTTGCCACTAATTTAAGTAACTAGAAGAATATTTCTCTGCTGGACTGATCATTAAAATAAAGTCAAACTGGTACTGTAGACTGGATTAATGTTTCTCTACATCAGATGAATGTTTTAGATACAGCACCTCACTCACTAAAAACACTTTACACCTCACTGTTTATTTGTGTGAAACACAATCTTAATTTTTGATTTTTTTTTAATAGTCAGCTTTCTAAGCAGTGTAAAAGCAGCAGGGACGCTTATTCTGCCACAGGTCATTCTATTAGGACGCAGTGGTAAATTAATAAGCAAAGCACATCTATAAAGTTTTCTGAAAAATGAAAACATCCCTCCTGAGAATCGGCCCGTCACACGACAGCAGCTCGGTTCATTTTGAACACAGAAAATGGTTGGTGGCGCCTGGTGACATGGTCTATTATTTTCACTCTCAAACATCGTGTTGAAAAAGAAAATATCTGGTGAGCTGCAGCTGCATGAAAATGCCTCAGAAAATATAGGTAGACTGGTTCAAGGTTGGGCTTTAAATAACCCTCTATTCCAGTCTCTCTGAAGTAGTTGGGCCTCCTGTCACTAAGACCCATCCACCTCTTCCTTATTCTCCTGTTTATTTTTCTTGGCTGAAAATATTACATGAAGATTTAAAGAACCATTATTATTCAGAAATATGAGACAAAGTATATTTGATATCTGCTTAATTGTTTTTCATTTAGTTTAATCTCTTTTCTTTGATATTAAGCTTGATGAACTGTTCAAATTTTGTTCCACAGAAATTCCTTGAAATTATCCATCCAGCAGAGGGTGCTGTTGCAAACTTTCAACAATCAGTTTAACCAGATTTTTTTCATTATTTTTATTATTGTTCAGGAGGTTTAAAAGATAAAACTTATATCTCCATAAAATAGATTGAATTCATAACCCCACACGTGATGTCAAAGCACCTCCCCCTGCTATTCCAACAGTCAGATTCCACGTTGAGCTTTTGATCCCGTTTCAAGTGCCGCTGTGAATCATGGGTAATGCAGTTCGCATTGAACAAGCGTGAGATGACGAAACCTCGTCGGTTTGTGTATGACCAGCTACTTTTATCCTGTACATTAGTTTATAAACATAACTTTTCCCCTCATAACTGTTGTATTTGGAATAACCAAAATATAAGTTTCAAGGATAAATCCATATTTCTTAAGAACTGGGTGGATAATAGTATTATATTTGTTAAACAATTGTTTAATGAGAATAGTCAGCTGTTTAATTATGGTGAATTTCTTTATGAATATAATTTCCCTGTGACACCTAGAGAAGTTGTGGTTGTTTTCGGAGCTATTCCACCAGGTTTGAAATTTCTTATATCAACCTCAGGTAGAGCCCATGTCCAATATCCCAGATTTCCAGAGTTATTTCTTGGTCATTCAGATCCGTTCCTTAGCATTAAAGCTAGAAATATACAAATTAGAGAAATCATCCAGAGGAATGCTATTAGCAAACGTGCATCAATCTTTCTTTGGAACAATCTTTATTCAGATATTGAGTGGGAACATACATGTTTTTTGCCAAGGAAGTATTTTCTCTCAAATAAAGTACAGGAGGTGTCCTTTAAAATTCTGCACAGATGTTACCTTGTTAATTGGAAAATGAATAAATATTTTCCAAATATTGATCCTCACTGGTCATTTTTTCACGTCGATCAAGAAACATTAACCCACTTATTTTCTTGCTCTTTCTGTAAAATGTTTTGTAGTGACTTCAAGATTTTCTTTAGTTGGGAATTTAACATACTTATCCCCTTTAATGTCAAACATGTTTTCTTTGGTATTTCCAATAACAGTATGTCTGGGGAAAAAATATCTTAAAAACTTTTTTATTCTGTTGGTGAACATCCACATACATTACTGTAAATTTGCTAAAAACAAATCCAACCTCAACGGTTTTTTGGACTTCTTAAAAATGTGCACCAACTCTAAAGCTGTGAAACTTACAACCCTAAGTGATGCAGTTCATTTGTAAACTCTTTTTTATTTAGTTTTTTCTCTCCTTTTTTTGTCATGGAATCCTGTGGATTTGTTATCCTGCTCATCAAGACTGTTTGCAATTGTATATTCTGTATTTGTAAATAAAGTTTATTTAAAGGTTCGAGTGTGGCCTCTTTGCTTATTTTTTTTCTTCCCAGGAGATGTTAATGTTAGGGAAAGATGCAGTAATATAATTGCATCAGATAGTCAAAGCTGCATTCTTAAGTATCAAATCTCGCAGGTCTTGTAGATTAGATTTATTATTAGATATATATCACCTATTAGTTCAGCTATATAATAAATGTTTTGTTTGATTTGTCTGGATTCCTGCTCATGTAGACATAGAAGGATATGAATAAGTAGATATATTAGCTAAACAGGCCTTAAAATCAGATATTATTAACTTAAGTATTCCTTTAAGCAAAAGTGAGGCTAAATCCATAATTCAGAATAAAATCTGTAAGGTTTGGCAGGAACAATGGGATAATCATGACACTGAGAGAGATCTATATAAAATTCAAAGGACTGTTGGGGGTGATAGTTTTACAAATGGAAAGGGGAAAGAAGAGGTAGTCATATTTCCACTAAGAATTGGTCATACTGGACTTAATAGTTCTCTTTTCAGATTAGGGAAACATGAAACAGGGAATTGTAATCACTGTAATCAGATGGAAACAGTGGAACATGTATTAATGGAATGTAATAAGTATTCACAGGAATGTCAGCATTTAAAATCAACACTAAATAGAAAAAAAAATTGGATTTTCGATGATAAGCCTTTAAGGAAGTAAATCTAATTCTGCTGGAAATCTGTTAATTAGATTTAAAAAAACACTAGATTATTTAATCGGATTTAAAGTAAGAATATAAATGTGTGTATGCATGTGCATGTACACACATGCTTCTTTATATGTGTTTCTATTGATATTGATTGATAGATAATATGAAGATTCGTGCATACCATTGAGGTATGTATTAATAACTTCCCTCTGACATCACCGAATGCACCTTAATTTGGCTGCCATCCGCCAATAAAAAAACAGAAGAAGAAAAAGAAACAGGGTGGTGGTCTGTGCAGATTCCAAAGCAGCTTTAGAAAGTATTCCGGGAGAAGGAAATGTTAGAAAAGATTTAGTATTAGAAATCCAGCACAGTCTATTTAGAATATGTAGGGGTGGTATTGATATTTGGTTATGTTGGGTTCCGTGACATGACGGTGTAAAAGGCAAGGAAAAAGCAGATATATTAGCAAAAAGGGCTTTAGAGGGAATAATAACCATTACAATTCCTTTAGGAAAAGGGAGGGAAATCACCTAGTAAGAGTAAAGAAATCGGGAAATGGCAAAAGAGGTGGAATGAAGATAAGAAAGGAGGAGGATTATACAAAAATCAGTATTAAATAGAAACATTAATGAGAGAAACAGAAGGGAAGATAAGGATATGATTAAGAGTGGATCATACCTACTTAAATGACAATTTCTTTTTAAGAAAGAAAATGTAGAACACGTACTGATGAACTATGAACCTTATGAACATGAAAGGGAGAAATTGAGAAAAATAACTAGAAGGACAGGGAAAGAATGGAGTCTTAAAGGAATATCGAGAAATTAATGTAATATGAAAGATATTCACAGATTAAGGAAAGCATTATTTATTTGTTCACAGAATACAAAATTTAAAAATAGAATTTGATGTAAAGTAATGTTGCTACACACGCATGTACAGTAGGTGGCGGTATGCACCTTAACGTTGCTTGCGATCCGCCATAATAGAAAAGAAGAAGAAGAAGACCTGATGTTTTTCCAGGATCACGTGACTGCGTTAAACCCGGAAGTAAAGCCATAACTGATAGAAGCGTTGCATCGTTGATGTGATTTTTGATTGTTTTTAGCTGAGCTTGGAATGAGCAGACCCAAACACTGACATGTCCCTCAGAGCGGGAGGTGAGTTTAGACTCCAGCTGAGATAATGGGTCAGAAAACGCTCCTGAGCGGCAGCTACGGCCAGCTTCTCCTGCTGGGTCTGCTCTGCTGCGGACTTTTCCCAGATGTTTCTGCCTGTAAGCAGGAAGCGGAGACTCCGGACTGGAGGATGACTCTGAAAACCATCCGGAACGGGATTCATAAAATCGACACGTATCTGAACGCAGCTCTGGACCTGTTTGGTGGAGATGATGGACTCTGTCGCTACAGATGCAGTGATGGTGAGTCCTGCTGTGCTCACCATGGGGCATGTTCACACCTGTGTTGCAACAGAAAGAAAAGTCTGCCAACCTGGGGGTTTTTCTAACACATTGGAAATTTAAACAAGCACTTATTTTACTTCATAAAAGTGAAATAATAGAAATACATTTGCTGTAAGATAAATTAAATGAAGTAAAATAAGCTGATTATACTCCCAGTACAGCTGTATAAGCTTAAATGTTATTTTCAAAGTATATGTTTGATTTGATGAATGAGCCTTATCCTTTATAGGGCACTCAGAGAAATAGTTTTAAAATCTTAATTTCAAGCCAATAGTGTTATTGGAGTCCAGAACAAGACCTTATTACCTCTGTAGCATTCATAAAATAGATATTTTGATGTTGAAAATGAATGTCAACGTAATAACGAGAAACATAACACAAGTGCGTCATTAAGAAATTCATGAAAAACACTCTGAGAGTTGAAAGAAACACATTTTTTTTTGGCACAACACTGGAAAAAATTTAAATTTAGATTTTTACCGTAGTAATTTTTCTTAAAGTAAGTGCAGTTGTTCTTGGATTGAGGAGGTAAAGGAGACAATTTTCCAATCTAAAAAGACAATTTACAATCTAAAATAAGAAAACACAATTACATTGTCTTATTTCAAGTGCATATTATCAAATTATCTTATTTTAAGAGTAAAAATACTCATTCCATTGGCAAACAATCTCATTTACCTACTCAAATTAAGTGTAAATTCACTTAACAGTGAACATAACCTTAGAGGCATTAATGCTGATACTGGCACTTACATTTTTTAGTTTATAAAGCTAAACATAATTGTTAACTAGGCTTATTAACTTCTTAACTTTACTTTTTAACTTTTCAATGAGCTTTTCACCCTTTTTTTTTCTTCACTTGTTCACTTTTTTTCCCAACTTAATTTACAGTAGATAATAAATCATTCAAGGGCTCATCTAATTGGTCAATACCAAAATAAGATATGAAATGGTAAAGGCCTGTACTTACATAGCACCTTTTCAAGTCAGGAGACTTCAAAGTGCTTTACACTACATTCAGTCATTCACTCATACACTGATGTACAGCCATGTAGCAGTATCTTTGCTGAATGGCTGGATATAGATCTAGTGCTTCTAGATCTAACTGAGGGAATCCATTTCTAAGGGGTATGCAAGGGATCAAAAACGCTAACTTGCCCTATAAAGGGTTACCGGTAAGTAGATCAAATATTATAATTTATTGAACCTGGCAACAGTTTCTTGTATTTAAGGTCTGACCAGACCCTCTGCTTTCAAATGGAATATTAAAACTTATGTACAAATGTTTGGCATAAAGCTGACGGTGAGTATCCCCTAAAGACTAGTACACACACCCATAGCAAAGCACGGTGGTGGCAGCATCATGTTTGGATTTTTTATTTTTATTTTATTTTTTTATCAGGAGAAGATACTGGATTTGTTTTCCTTAATAAATGCTTTCATTGAATTATTGTTTCCTAGTATTATTCAGGTTTAGCCCCAAAATATGGAAGAAAAACAATCTGATTTAAATCTGTCTTTTTTTGTACACCACATTTTAAACACAGAATCTTTTAGCACCGAATTTTAAACACTGATTTCTTTTTTTTTTTTTTTACACATTGAATTCCTTACACTGAATTTTTATCTGGTGAAAATTCAGCTGCAAAAAATTTGCCTGCAAAAAAATCAGCTGCAAAATATTCAGCTGTAAATAAATTCGACTTCAAATGTTTTGACCTTTTGGTGAAATCCAGACAAAGCAATCTACACTTGATGCAGTTGAGCAGCTTCTAGCCAATGAAAGTAGCTCATTTTGTCAGGAAGAAAAAAGGAAGTTTGCCACCGGCTGCTTCTTCCTTATAAAACCAAGAGCTTTGGCAGACAGGGGTGCTGCACTAGCTGTGATCGGCTCAGTTATTTTAACATATGTGCAGCTGAATTTTTTGCAGGCAAATTTTTACCAGATATAAATTCAGTATAAGGAATTCAATGTGTAAAAAAAAAAAAATTATCTGTGTTTAAAATCCGGGTTACCAAAAAAGGCAGATTTCAATGAGATGGTTTTTCTTCCATACAAAACATTTAGGCATCTGGTTTTTCAGCCGCACTATGAGTCAGAGCAGACATCCAAATCAACCAAGAATTATTTGAATCTGGTAATCTAGCAGAAAATCTGTTGGTGGATTATATAAATGTTGTAAATATCTCAGAGAGCATGCTTTCTAAGTTAACATCAAGATAAGGCATCACCAATAAGCATTTCAATATGGCCGACGTTCTCAGAATATCCCCACTCTTGGATCCCAGATGTCTGTGGAAGTCATCCAGAATGACACTATTAGACAATCTAGAATGAAAAGCATCACCAAACTGACAGAACATTATACGATGCTCACCTTTCCTTCTCTTCCCAGGATACAAACCGACGCCTCGTCCCGGGTACAAGCACCCACCGCCTAATGGATGTGGCTCCCCTTTGTTTGGGTTTAAGGTAATCAGCTCCATTTAAAGGTGGAGACTCCAGAGAAACTAGAAATACTAGGAAACAAAGAATAGCTCTCATGCATCCTTCCAAGGAGTTTGTGATTAATTCATGTATTTGCACAGCTTTAGTGAACACCCCAGTTTTCCATCCAGAATGACTGTGCTGCTCTTTCCAGTTTGATTTGGGAATCCCCTCCATGACCAAATGCTGCAACCAGCACGACCGTTGCTATGACACCTGTGGCCGCCAGAAACACGACTGCGATGAGCAGTTCCAGGACTGTCTGGAGACCATCTGCAGGAACGTGCAAAGGACTCTGGGATTGGCCCAGACTGTCCAAGGTCAGTCTGAAGGGCTCAGTTTCTGTTTCCTCTATTAGAAACTGATCTGATCTTAGACTTAGAGACTTAGACAGATTTATTTTGTCATTTTGTATACACGAGTGTATGTTAATTCCTTGCATGCCTCGTTTTATAAATGGAGACAGTCCTGTGTTTGTTTCCATCAAAAGCTAAGCCTCTATCAAATTATCTGCAGTTCCCTTTATTCTGCTGTTTTCTTTGTAGAAATCAGAATAATTTATGACTCAAAACTTGCAAACACTGTTTTTTTTTTTTTAGAACAAACAAAATGTAAACAGGTGAAATTATTTAATAAGTAATATTGATTGTTTTTCTAAATGTTCTAGATTTGATCAGATGCTAAACCACAGATCAGTTCAATAAATATCATGCTCAGCGGGTCAGAGTTGAAAGAAAGCTCTAATTCTTTGTCAAATGCTTAAAGCTTCATCGCTGCTGTTAATGCATGACCAGATTTTTTATTTTTTATATGGATTACTAACCTTTGCTTGTCGTCACACTGCACCTCATGTCTGTTTGTTGTGTCTACATATCTTTATGGACATGAAGTGCTTAAAGGCTGTGGTGGTGCTCTGATCTTCTATGCTGAATCAACACAATTATCTTAATATCCTTTACTCCCTTTGGTTGACATGAAAACAGCTGAAGTGGCCCAGACAGAAACTTTGGTTTATCAATTTTATTATTCTTTTGCACATGTGGGATTATAAAGAAAATGAGCCGTTGTTTACTAGCCATATTTTGGTTTAGTTAAAATTATCAGAATATATAATAAACATAAAAAGTAAAAGAAAACTAATCCGAAAGAAGGGGATTGGGTCAAAGGTTGTAGTAGATGATTGAATGAGAAGTTATTGCAATACTCATACTGTCCACTAGAGGGAACAAAGATACATTTTACCTTCGGTTAACTGATAATGAAGCAAGGGCTGTGCATTAAAGGCAGATTTCAACCAAAAGAAGAATACTTTTAAATCTCTTACTTGTTAAATATAGTCTAATGAAATAAAAAACACACAAAAAACAAAAAGCTGTGATAGAAGGTGAGATGTTTGGATTTAAAACTACTTTATGTTAATTGTTATTCCTTAATAGGATATTGTTGTTTTTACTTTTTTTTATATCTTTGCGACATTAATTGCATTAAACATTGTTCTCCTGTTGACTGTCTGTTTTTTTTCTGCCTGTGTTTCTGCTTTCCTTCCCATCGCAGCGTGTGAGTCCGCTGTGACCCTCCTTTTTGATGCCGTCATGCACCTGGGCTGCAAGCCATACCTGGACAGCCAGCGGGACGCCTGTGTGTGCCAGTACGAAGTGAAAAAGGAGCTGTGACAGCGCTGCCAATACAGAGACTCTGAAATCTGGAGTTTAACTTTTATTGTCTAGCTTTTCTCAGGGATGGGGCCTTTTTGGCTAACTGTGCAATGCTAAGTGAATGTTTAAAAAAAATGTTTCTTTTAGGTGGTAACTAATATTTGTCCCTGTGCAAACCACTATTTATATATATTTTGGCGATTACAGTTAAGGCCCTTTGATGGATGAGAACTGATTCAGGTGTCCCTCATGCTTTAAACAGGACGCCACACATACGTTCTGTTCAGAGTTCAAAGGTCAGCTTACTATACAGCAATAAAGCACACATCCACATTCTAAAGCAAAGGGCGTTTTTATGTTTCTAGGAAATCTTTGTCATTTTTATTCAGGCTATTCTCCCAGCCTCCTAATCTCAGATGTTCTTGCTGTGTCCAGTGCAAATCCCTTATCCTGACAGCATTCTGATGTCTGTGTTCAAAGAGTTGGGAAATTCAGAGAGGCAAGGCAAAAGAAGCCTTTTCAGGCTAACAAACAAATCTGAGGCAGATTAGGAGAAAAGAGGCATGAGTCTTTGATTACTTAAAATAAAAACATCTATTTTCTACTAAAAGGCCTGGAGGCGTACACTGTTGATAAAAACACTAAGGATCCTTGATGAGCTCCAGCACCAGCAAACACATCTCTTTCTTTACGTAGACAAAAAAAAAGTCCTATCTGGTATATAAAAAAAAAAGTAATAAAAAAAAAACATTAAAATATGACTGTTTTGTATTGTTCTGGTTATTCTGTTTATTATAGTTTCTTACAAACAACATCCGTCCTGCTTTGGACCGGCTCTGTTGGTGAACCTATTCTTGAATTGTGCTCTAGACCAAATATACCAGGGGCCCAGTGTGGGACCTGGTTTTTTCATGGTGGCACAGAAGAGGAGAAAAAGAAAAAAAGAACAGGGAAACAATGCATCTCTTTGCATGCTTTAAAATCAAGGTTGAAGACCCTTTATGAAGAACAGGAGTTCAAAAACCTCTCAGCCTGTGACCCCGAAATAACAATACAATAGTCTACAGACCCTCTAAGAATACATAGAAAGTGAAATAATTATATTCATTTTAAGATACGTTAATTTTTTCAATGGTATTGAATTTCAACTGTATTTTCATTTAATGGGACATTTAATTATTCAATGATATATTAAACAATGTATTGGTATAATTTAGGGGCTGCACAGTGCGGTAGTTTGTAGCTCTGCTGCCTTGCAGCAAGACGGTTCCAGGTTCGATTCCTGTCCCTGGGGTCTTTCTGCATGAAATTTGCATGATCTCCCTGTGCATGCATGGGTTCTCTCAGGGACACTCCCACACGTCAAAAACATGACTGTTAGTCAAGAGTCAAAGCCAAGGCTCTTAGACTCTAGGGGAGCGGGAGTCTGGTGGTTAGAGTACAGAGCTTGGAATCCTGAGGTTCTGACTTCACGCCCCACTCCCTCAGAATGCCACTCTGGGTCTCTGAGCAAGACCCTTAACCCCACACTGCTCCCCAGGCACCATACAATGGCAGCCCACTGCTTCCCAAGGGGATGGATGAAATACAGAGTGAATTATTTCTAAATTACGATACGTGTCTATTAATTTCTAAATTCTCCTTATGTGTGCGTGAATGGTTGTTTTTTCCTGTTTGTCTCTGTATTGCCCTGTATACCCCACCTCTCACCCACTGACAGTTGGAGATAGGCAGCAGCACCCCTCGTGACCCAAACAGGCAAAAGCATGACAGAAAATGGATGGTATAATTAATATTTGAATCATATATTAGAGACCATACATTTTAAATCTATTTATTTCATGGTACATTTAGTTACAGAATGGGACATTCAAAAGTATTTCTTTATATATTTTTTCCCTCCATATATCTCACGGATCATACCACCATGATTATGGAAAACATCATAGGTACCAGTCAACCTTAATCCCTTTCGATCAGCTCATATAATAAGAAATGTATCTAGTATTATGTTTTCAGTACAGGGGACAGAACCAATTCAATAGGGGCTCTGGCCCCGTTGGCTCCTGTCTAGAGCCGCACATGATGCCCGGGCAGCACACACATGGTACAGGGGCCAGTAATGGCCCGCCAAACTCCTTCTGTGCCCTGCTTTTAAATCCATAGTTTGGTCTAAGCCTGGAGTAACTAATTAAAAACCTGTTGGGTCCGAATAAAGAAAATCATCAACCAGTAAAGGTCCAGAGACATTTTTAATTATAATCTGTTACTTTAAACAGAATTTAACACTGAAATAAAATGAGGTTTTTATGCATCCATGTTATACATTGAATTTTTAAATTAAAAAAAATATAAAAATAAATAGAACATTTTCCCATTTTAAAATCTTAAGTGTAGAGAACAGCAATTGTTCAGTTTGGTATATAGACAATTTCCTGATTCACATATTTTATATAAGACAACTGACCTTTTTTTTTATGTCTTAATGAGAGCAGTGGGCTTTAGGCTGCCCTGCAATGCTTTAAAACTGGGTTTGAATGGAGACTGGTCCATTCTCAAGCACATATCAAGGTGCTCATTTGTGAGCCATATTATCAGGCGAAGCAGCGCAAGTGAATTTACACACTGTGGTTGGACAACATGTAGTCATTTATAAATGTTTTAAATCAGGTTGGGTCCGGATCCGGACCGTTAACGTTAAAAGCTTCGACTTCCTGCTTCTGTGTCAGTAAAGTTATCCTGACACAGATTTAATACCTCTCATAAAACGCCCTAATTCATTGCGCCGCTAGCTGCACCTCCCTAGGGTCGTTACTTTCTGACCAATCGTTTCCTCCGGTCTTAACTTTTAGCCAATCAAATCGTAGGGGCGGGACTAAACTCGAGCTACCTTTCTCTATGTTTGAGGAAGTGATTTTCAGTCTCCCAGCCGGAGAGAAGAAGAAAAGCCAAGATGTCGGACAGCCGCGCAGGTAAAATCTCACCTTTATGACACGTTTACGTCTTCAGTGTAAAACTCTCGATGTTTATTAAACTTATAGCCCTAAAAATAAAATTTATATTAAATCTAGCTTCGAACTGTGTTCACTGTCCCCTTCTTGACTAAGAGTCTCTTATTGGAGATATTCTTATTTAATAATAATAATTAAACAGTAATAACTGTTTGGCTTCATATCCTGTAAATATTGTTTCTTTTCTCAATGTGTTGGTTATAAATTCTTGTTAGAACAGTTTATGGATTGTATTAAATAATAGTACTAATAATGATTGTTTGTTTCCCCACTTCATTAGAAAAAGGCTCCACTGCCACAGACAGTGTGGGTGAGTTATCTCTCCAAATGTTTCACAACTGCGCCTGCTTCCTTAAAAATACACATAAAAGTGAAAGTAATAAGAGAAAGTTGTAAAACCATAAATCAGCTTCATTTGGATAAACAGTATTTTGTCTCTCTGTTCTCCAACATCTTCTAAATTCATGGTGCAGTTTATAGTTTACATCCAGGCTTAGCTCACTATTACTGAAACATGAACAGGCTTTTAATGGGGTTGATAAGGGGCAGAATTTTGCAATCGTTTAGCAGATGTCAGACCGGATTGTAAAAGACTCAAGGCAAGATTTTAACTTTCTGATGACAGACATGAAGCAGCTTCACAGAAAAGCAAAGGAAGAAATGCCGTCAAACCTCTTTCTGTTTACACAAAAAAAAACAACCTCTGTTCATTGTAATGCCCTCCATATGCTGTTATACTGACATCAGATACTGACATGCTGTTATAACATCCATCCATCTTCTCCCACTTATCCGGGGTCGGGTCGCAGGGGAAGCAGCTTCAATAGGGAGGCCCAGATGTCCCTCTATCCAGCCAGCAACTCTGGGGGAATCCCAAGGCGCTCTCAGGCTAGCCGTGAAACATAGTCTCTCCGGCGTGTCCTGGGTCTCCCCTTGGCCTCATTCTGGTGGAACGTGCCTGGAACACCTCACCAGGAAGACGTCCCGGAGGCATCCTAACCAGATGCTTGAGCCACCTCAACTTGCTCCTCTCGATGTGGAGGAGCAGTGGCTCTACTCTTGATTCCTCCCCGGATCACTGAGCTCCTCACCCTATCTCTAGGGGGGAGAACCCAGACACTACGGAGAAAACTAATTTCAGCCACTTGTATCCAGGATCTCGATCTTCCAGTCATGACCCAAAACTTATGACCATATATGAGGGCAGGAACGTCGGTAAATTGAGAGCTTTGCTTTTTGGCTCAGCTCTTTCTCCACCACAACAGACTGGTACAGTGCACGCTTCACAGCAGACGCCGCACCAATCCGCCTGTCGATCTCCAGCTCCATTTTCCCCTCAATCGTGAACAAGACCCCAAGATACTTAAACTCCTCCACTAAATCAGAGCAAACTGCTCACAGCTGTGTCTGATATCACCCAATTTATTTGAAAAACATCCTCAAACTGTTAATATATGCTGCTCAGCTATCACCAGCCTGCAGCAGAGGACATGCAAAGACATGCATCCTTCAATTGGATATCTTCTGTTTTTAATGACATGTTGGTATTACACAGTTCCTGGATGCTTGTTAGAGAGGTCACCGCCAAACAGTAAACTAATCATATTGTTTAAGGAGACAGTTTACGCCGCTTGGAGCTAAGTGACATGCATGAAGATGAGTCAGGATGGTCCGACTTAGCAACAATTTGCAAACATTTGAAGTGTTTACTCACCTCGATGTTGCAGCATAACCCTGCCGCCATGTTGCTTTGATAAATGCCACCGAAGTTGATTCAGGAGACCCTGAGGGGCCGTGCTAAGTGTGCACTGGAAAAACAATCTAGAAATAAGTACCGTAAAAATTTCTTAAGTTAAGTATATTTATCCTTTATTTGAGTAGGTAAATGAGATAGTTTGTCAATGGAATTAGTATTTTTTACTCCTAAAATAAGATAATGAGATAATATGCACTTGTAATAAGACAATGCAATTGTGTTTTCTTATTTTAAGTGTGAATTGTCTTATTTACCTCCTCAATCCAAGAACAAATGCACTTATTTTAAGAAAAAAATGACTTATCTAGATTTAGATTTTTTTCCAGTGTGGGGGGTGTTGTCAGGAAGAGGGATGGTGACAGTGGATATGATGTGACTAAATGATTAAAGTGCTTCAAATAAAACTTTATTCGGACTTTTAGGCGATAAAATGCTCCCCTGTGACGGTGCAGTATGTCTAAGGGGGATTGTTTTATGTGAGTTCTAGGGATGCAAGTTATCGATTAATTAATTAGTCTAAAGTTGATAGATGTTAGCGATCGGCTAACCATTAATTAATGGTTGAATGTTAAGGGCTGAATATTTTTTTGGAATTGCCGGATTAGATCTATCTTCTGCTGCTTCATCCGTCAGGATCGCTGTGAGGCTGGTGCCTTTTTCCAGCTGTATGGGAGAAAGGTTGGGTTTATCCTGGACAGATTGCTAGTGCATCATATGCAGAACAAAATGGGACATTTTGAAACCAAAACATCCTAAAAATTAAATTTTTACTATATTAACCATAAATTGACCACAGAAAAACACTAATAAGGTTTTATATCAATATATTAACATTTAGGATGATAATAATAATTAATAATAAATTCATGTCCTTTTAAGAACATTTAAGTGTCTTACAATAGAAGAGAAGGGAAAGTTATGTGGCTCTGCAGGTCATTTAGGAGTT